AAATATTTTCCATTCAGATCAACAAATTATTGGTTGAGTGGGAGGTTCATAATTAAGGGTTTAGTCTAGTTTGCTGATGAGCTCAATTGAGCCCAATGGCCAACTGATTTTCACTTACTTAGTTACGTATGAATTTTTTTTTTTTTTCATTTGTCAGTTCATAAATTATTTTTATTATTAAATCAACAAAAGGATTTTATAATTGTGCTTTCCAAAAGTGATTGTCAAATAATTTTATTAAGGATATGTTATTAGGAAACAAAGGTTATCAATGAATTATTATCTAGTTCATGTGGGATTTATTGTTTCTATTTTTTCAGTTATTTTTTCTTGACCTTTTAACTTTTTAATGGGTTCTTGACTATTTATTGAACATATTTTTAGTAACCAAATTAATAGTTGATTGATGAACTAAAAAAGATTCTGTTTTCAAATTATATGTAAATTAAAATAAATAAATAAAGTAACATATATATTAAAATTAAGAGGGATTGGGATTTAATTGGTTCTTTATTGTCACTATCATGAGGCATCATCATTTGTAGGAACCATTTAAAGTCATTTTCCATTTTCCTAATTGACTTCCAATGTGGATTTTCCATTCCTATTCTGTTTTTTAGGTTGCGTTAATGTACATGTCTTCATCTTCACTCATAACTTTTGCCGACTATTGAAGCGAAGCTCATCCTTGGTTTTGAAGATTTGCTTTATCGTTTCACCAGAAATGTGTACATGAAATAATGATAATGCTTCGTCGTGATTTCAATGCACACATGAAAATCATTCATAATTGAGATCTTCTCTAACTGAGTTGTGATACTTTAATTAATGAAAATAACATATATACAAATATATACCTACTAGCGGGTGGATGAGTTGATTAATACTTTTCTAACTTAATCAGAGGTTTGATTTCAAGTTTTGGAAATGCAGTTTCATTAAAATTCGTGAAATAAAATTTTATCGCCCGTTGGGTCCTATCTGGTTCGAATCCAAATTAATCAATAACCTAGTAGGTTTTCGAACACTGGATGGTTCATACCAAAAAAACATATATACAAATACATATATATAGTAGGAATCCATTTATACCCATAAATTTGACTTATCACACTTATATAAAATTTTAATTTTTTTTTTAATTTTTAACAGTTAAGATTTATTTATATTTATTAATAATAATTATTTTTTTAATCATGTATCATGATTTTTTAAATAAAAAAATAATTATATTTGATAAATATAAATAAATTTTAATCATTAAAAATGTAAAAATGAACAGTTAATATTTTATATAATTATGGTGTATAACACTTATGTGTAAATAGATCACCATACCTTTTATATATATATATATATATATTGATTTTGGGGTGCATAATAGAAGGTAATATATCTTTCCTCTCTTAAATTACTTTATTTGTATATCATATTATTCA